CGTACGTACGTAGTAGTGTGTGTGTGTGTGTGTGTGTGTGTGTGTGTGTGTGTGTGTGTGTGTGTGTGTGTGTGTGTGTGTAACACACTCTGTCTGTCCAGTGTGGGCACAGAGAGGCAGAGGGCCCCACCCTGTCCTTTTTATCATCTCTCTCTCTCTCTCTACTTCCTGGGCGCTCCCACGTTATGCAAATTCCCACTCCGGGCTCTGTGTTGAAGTAGCAGCCCCAGGGCGCCCAGACCTGCAGTCCCCAGGCGCTGAGCTGCCCCTTGCGAGCTCTGTGTTGTCCCCGCCTAGCACACAATGAACTCTCTGCTCCTCCCCGTGCTCCTCCTGGCTCTGGCCCCGGGTGAGTGGCTGCGGAAGGCTGCGGGAGGCGGCGATGATCTGGGGGGAAGGTGGGTTTGAATCTGACCGATCCCTGCTTTTCCCAGGTGTCCTGTCCCAGCTCCAGCTCCAGGAGTCCGGCCCGGGGGTGGTGAAGCCTGGAGAGACGCTCACACTCACCTGCACTGTCACCGGGGGCACCGTCACCAGCAGCTACTGGTGGAACTGGATACGCCAGGCTCCGGGCCAAGGGCTGGAGTGGATGGGACTATGGACCGGGAGCACAAGCTACGCCCCGTCTCTCCAAGGCCGAATCACCATCTCCGTGGATTCTTCCAACACCAAATACTATCTGCGGCTGAGCTCGCTGACAGCTACAGACACCGGCACCTATTACTGCGCCAGAGACACAGTGACACAGAGCAGAGCAGGGACCATACAAAAAGGGGAAGCAGATTCTAAGCAAAGCAGTGAGGCCAGTTCAGCCGGGAGTGCTGAGTGCAGACCCCATCCCCTGCACACAGACTGTGTGTGTGTTTGTGCATGTGCCTGTACGTGTGTATCTGTGTGTGTGTCTGTCTGTGTGTGTTTTCCTTTTGGGATCATATTGGCTGATGTTCTCCCAGCAGAATATTTCGTCGCCCGCACTGCAGCTCCTGTTCCAGTGGGTAAATCGGCACCAAAGAGTCGAGACGTCTGTGTTGTCATCAAATCTCTCTGACCTTTACCTAGAGAGCAGGAGCTTTAACACCACTCGCTGCTTCTCCCCTGTGCATAGAGTCCCCCTGCCAGCCCCATTGAGATCCCATCCCCGCTCGGTGAGACCCGCATGCAAATCCCTGCCCCGGGGGTTCCTGTTAAATACAAAGCCCTGGTTCTAGGAGCTTCAGTCTCCCTCCAGACACAGAACTGCCCGGTCCTGCCCCTGGGGAATGTCTCCATTAACAACCACCAGGACATCGTCACTGCCCTTCACCCTTCTCCTGTTCTCCGCCCCATCGGGTGGGTGTTTCATGGGACCCAGAGAAACACCGAGGTCGGGAATGCACCGGTTCCAGGCCAGATTCAGCTCTGTTCCCCCTTTCCCCAGGTGGCCTCTCCCCGGTGCAGCTGGCCAAGACCGGCCCGGGAGCGGTGAAGCCCAGAGAGACCCTGAATATCACCTGTAAGGTCTCTGTTCCCGTCAGCATGGGGGGGTTGCTTCCAGCTGAGGGCAGGAATGACACATGCAACTGTTCTGTTTGAAAACGGACCTCAAAATAAAGTGCTTCATCTCTTTACTGTATCTCCCACCTTTGCTTCTACAGTCACAGCCCTTGTTCTGACAGAGCCCACAGACTGCACCTTCTCTCCATGCCCAGTTCCACCCGCTTTCATTGAAACCTATTGTCACTCTCTGGTGCCTGAAACCAGCCTTTCTCCCACTGCAGTTTGAGCTGCTTCCCCATCAGACATTTGCAGGAGAGATTCATTCCTATGGACAACACGTATACATTGTTTAGATTTATTTGATATGCCCAGCATAGGCCCATAGATACCAGACTGTCCTAACTAGAAAGGGAAGGGTAACAACCCTCCTGTGTACAATACTATAAAATCCCTCCTGGCCAGGGGCACCAAAATCCTTTTACCTGTAAAGGGTTAAGAAGCTCTGGTAACCAGGCTGACACCTGACCCAAAGGACCAATAAGGGGGCAAGATACTTTCAAATCTTGGGGGAGTGGAAGGCTTTTGTTTGTGCTCTTTGTTTGAGGGTTGTTCGCTCTCGGGACTAAGGCTAGGTCTACACTACAGGGGGGGTCGACCTAAGATACGCAACTTCAGCTACGTGAATCACGTAGCTGAAGTTGTGTATTTTAGGTCGACTTACCTGGCTGTGAGGACGGCGGTGAGTCGACCGCTGCCGCGCCGCCGTCGACTCTGCTTCCGCCTCTTGCCGCAGTGGATTTCCGGAGTCGACGGCAGAGCCATCGGGGATCGATTTTATCGCGTATTCACTAGACGCGATAAGTCGATCCCCAATAGATCGATTGCTACCTGCCGATTCGGCGGGTAGTGAAGACGTGCCCTAAGAGGGACCAGACATCAATCCATGCTCTCCAAATCTTTCTGAACAACTCTCTCATATCTGAAACTTGTAAGTAACAGCCAGGCAAGGCGTATTAGTTTATCTTTGTTTTCTCAACTTATGAATGTTCCTTTGCAAGAGGGAGGTATCCCTGTTTTGCTGTAACTTTGAAACTAAGGCTAGAGGGGGTTCTTCTGGGCTCTCTGAATCTGATTACCCTGTAAAGTTATTTTCCATCCTAATTTTACCAACATGATTTTTACCTTTTCTGTTTAATAAAATCCTTCTTTTAAGAACCTGACTGATTTTTCTATTGTCCAAAGACCCAGGGGTTTGGGTCTTTGATCAGTTTGTAACCAATTGGCTAGGATATTATTCTCAAGCTTCCCCAGGAAAGGGCGTGTAAGGGCTTGGAGGGATATTTTGGAGGAAGAGGAACTCCAAGTGGTCCTTTCCCTGTTTCTGTTAAATCACTTGGTGGTGGCAGCCTACCAGGTTTTAACCTAAGCTGGTAGAAATAAGCTTAGGGGGCTTTCATGCGGGTCCCCACATCTGTACCCCAGAATTCAGAGTGGGGAAGGAACCCTGACACAGACGAATCACTGTGAAATATCAGAGAACAAAAGACTCTGTTGATCGCTTCCCCCCCACACCCACAAACAGGAAAAGTGCAGCTGGACTCCTTCCATCAGCTTGAGCTCTGGGAGAATGGAATAAAAATCCATAACAAGGAGAAACTAGATCTTCATGCTGCTTGGACTCTGAGAAACAAGGATTACTAAGCATAAGCAAAAGATCCCTTGAGTTGAGCACAGTTAGCCCTAAAAGACACACAGAACTTGCTTCTTATAGAAGCTTCTACCATCTTTTAGAAGCTAAGACTGTAACTGGTTTGTGAGGGTATGTTTACCTGCTTTAACCTTGTAAATAACTCTCTTCCTTCTTTTTTCTTAGCCAATAAATCTTTAGTTAACTAATTATGGGACTAGCTACAAGTCTTGTCTTTGATGTCGAATCTAAAGAGTAATTGACCTGGGGTAAGTGACTGGTCCTCAGGGAAGGGCAGTAACCCGACTATTGTGATTTTTGGTGTAAGGGACCACCTATCACAAAGGCAAGCTTTGGTAGATTGGCCCCACTGAGCGAAACCCACTTGCCAATCTCTACCCAAGGGGTCTCCCTGGGGTGTAAAGGGGACACATGTCCCCGAGGGGACATTGCCATGTACTGAGTGCTCACCCCCGTCATCTCTTATACCCACCCCGGGAACCCGCATGCAAATCCCTGCCCTGGGGGGTTCCTGTTAAATACCAACCCCTGGTTCTATAAGCTTCAGTCTCTCCCCAGACACAGAACTGCCCGGTCCTGCCCATTGCGGGATTGCCCTCTTAGGAAAACAAGAATGAAATCTCTGCTGCTTTTCCTTTCCCTGTTCTCCGCCCCTGCCTCTGAGTGTCTCTGGGGAAGGAGGGAAATTAGGGACCGATCCATAGAATCTTCTCTTTGTTTCCCTTTCCCCAGGTGTCCTCTCTCAGGTGCAGCTGATCCAGACCGGCCGGGAGCGGTGAAAGCCGGAGAGACCCTCAGTATCACCTGTAAAGTCTCTGGAGTCTCCGTCAGCAGCTACCATTGGAGCTGGGTCCGGCAGCCCCCTGGGAAAGGGCTGGAGTGGATGGGGTTTATCCGACACACAGTTAACGGGGGCAGCACAGAGTATAACTCGGCTTTCACACCTCGTGTCACCATCACCAGGGACACCTCGAAGGACGAAGTTTATCTCCAGCTCGGCTCCTGGACAGCTGCAGACACCGGCACCTATTACTGCGCCAGACACACAGTGACACAGAGCACAGCCGGGACTGGCACAGAAATTGGAAGCGGATTTCTAAATAGTCAGCCGAGTGCAACACTCGGTTTGTGCCCTAGGGGAGGAGACAGACAGGGCATTGCCGACAGCGGGATCTCAGGAGCCACCCCCGTTTCTCCCCCACATCCCACCCAGTCCCACCCCGTCCCACCAAGGAATTTCAAACACTTCTCTTCCTTGTGCTGCGCACTGAAATGTGCACCCAGAGACTCACCGAGACTGGGTGTGATGGTTTGGGCTACCTCATTTTTGGGCACTTAACTGAGACCTTTTCAGGCCTGATCTCTAGAAGAGGCTCAGATCCTGTATCTCTCATTGGCCTCAGCTGGAGCAGTGGGCGGGTGTCACCCATGGGGAACCAGGTTCTCTGTATCTCACGCTGGTCTCCAGATACCGAGAGCCCCAAATTCAGAAACCACTTCAGGACTTGTTGTCCCAAGGGAGCACATTTCACCTTCACGCAGCACACACTGCTCTACCTGAAATCAATGGGAGCTGCAGGTGCCAAATACCTCTGAAAATCAGCCCCGAATTGAAATGTATCATGAGAGGAGAGATGGCTTTAGGGAAAAGGAGCTCGACTCGGTGTTCAGAAGATTTGGGTTCAATTCTTGTTTCCCCACAGACTTGTTAAGTGACCTTGAACAAGTCATTTGACCTTTCTCAACCTGGGTTCCCCCCTCTACAAAAATAGCCACTTGTCTTGCTAAATTGCAAGCTCCTTGGAACAGACACTGTCTGTCTGTGTAGCGCTTAGCACCATGATCTTGGCTGGTGCCTGTAATGTCTTCTGTAAAATTAACAATAAGATCTCATGCCTGAGTCATTGGGCACAGGATGTGAGTAGACAAATTAGCCCAGAGGAATGGGATTGGATCTGGAAAAGAGGACCGGCAGTCTCAGTCTGTAGCACAAGACCTTTTCACGGGGAGGGATAGCTCAGTGGTTTGAGCATTGGCCTGCTAAACCCAGGGTTGTGTGTTCAATCCTTGAGGGGGCCACTTAGGGAGCTGGGGCAAAAATCTGTCTGGGGATTGATCCTTCTTTGAGCAAGGGGCTGGACTAGATGGTCTTCTGAGGTCCCTTCCAACCCTGATATTCTATCAATACAAGAAAATGTCCCTAAGATTCTGTTTCAACATTACCTTGCACCAGTTCTGTTAAAAACAATACAGAGGATAAATGTTGGAGAAATTGTGGTGAAAGAGGAGATTTTATGCATACATGGGGACATGTCCAGTCATTAGAGCGTATTGGGTTGCAATCCATAACCAAATATCACCAATTTTTGGATATTCATTATAAAATGATCCTTTGGTAATCCTCCTGGGGTTTCCTAGTGGAAATGGTCACACCAAAGGAAATAAAGAATTAATCTCTCATCTGCTGGCAGCAGCTTGGCTATTCATAGAATCATAGGACTGGAAGGGACCTGGAGAGGTGATCTAGTCCCGTCCCCTGCACCCATGGCAGCACTAAGTATTCTCTAGACCATCCCTGACAGGTATTGGTAGCATCTCATTGGAAAAATTAAAAACAGCCCAAACATTGAGGAACGGTTTTATAAATTTGCGAGTCTCAGTCTGTGGAGATGGAGAAATTAACACACCAATTATCTAGCCAGCAAATTAGATGGAGGAGAGATACAGACTCAGATATCTGATTACCTTTTATTCAGTACTCAAGCAAAAATAACCAGGACACCTGTCCAATTTTTTTGAATATTAACATTTGATAGATTTACCTGATCTGTTAAATATGTGCACATAGAGATTTCACTCAATTTAATAAAAT